TATAATATTGCGAAATATAAAACTGGATAGATATTTAAACATTTATCTATGTTACGTAAAATACCGCATGTCGTATGTGTGATACAAATCTGTATATCTTATTACATTTAGCCTGAAGGCAAAATTATTAGGTTGCTTTATATGTGTCATTGAATGTGATATTACGATATACTTACATATACCTTGTCCCATCTAATAGAAACATTTGAACTTTAATGCAGAAGTATTTAGTACTATTTTTTCACTACTAGATGGCGTTGTAACAAATCACAACTAGAAAAGATTATAAAAAAGTTTGCACAAGATAATTATTTTCCTATCTTACTAATATTAAAAATTCGAATGATGAGATGCATTCATCAATGTAGATGTTTGATAGAAGGTATCTCTCTAACGACTAAACGGATCTTGATGAAATTTGGCACATTTATAGAACATAATCTGGAAAAACACATATGATACTTATTAAGTTTGTTTTTAAATACCGCGCGGACGAAATCACTGGTGAAAGCTACTTAAATACTATTTATCGTTTAGTGAGATTTTTAAGGACCTTTCATTTTAAATGACTAATAGAAAGAAGTCTTGGTAGTAAGGTTAGTCGATTTCCTTGGACCACGGTCATAAGTTCCAAATCGCGGTTTTGCTAATGTTCAGCACCTCAGGCTTTTTAGTGGAAATTGATTCTAATTGATTCCTAAACTAATTGTGTTATACAGATGGCAATAACTTGCGACTGTCCGATGTCGCAGCCGGGGCCGACACTTGCGGCGGCTTGCGGAGGTGGCGCTTTTATGCTCTTCATGGGCCTGCTTGAAGTTTTCCTAAGGAGCCAGTGCGATTTAGAAGACCCTTGTGGTAGAGCGCAGGTAAGGCAAAGAAACAATGCCATTTTTTATCTGATTCGACTAATTGGTTACTTTAACTATAATTTTTCGTTTTTTTTATTTGTCTCTTGTTCATTTGAAGTCAATTTACAAGAAAAAAAAATTGTCAGTATGGGACATGATTAAAAATAATTGCTATTTTAATTTCACAGGCACAACAAAAGACTATACCGGCACAGATGTGTTTTTTTACTTTTATGTTATAAAATATTAAATCTATGAACTGTAATTATCAACATCAATGAAACCAAACTAACGTAATGTTATAAAATAATTAATTATATAAAAACTGTAACAATGCTGAGAATTTCCAACATTATTAACAAACGAGATCGTTCCCAAAAGATGCGGACGAGGAATTCTCACTCGACAATAAATCAAAATGCGATAACTAGTTCATAAGAAAATATAAAACAAAGATTCTATAATAAAGTTCATCGCACCATTTTAAATAATATGCACACAAATTTTCACATCAAAAAGTCACCCCTAACTTAGGGTAGGCTCTGAGCTCAGTGGGGATGTATAGTGAGCTGATGATGACATAAATTTTTGTTCATTGTTGCTAATTTCGCCGTAGAAATATTATAAGATGCTTGTTACCTACTCTAGCACAAAAACTAAACTTATTATAACAACTAAGGATATTACTCGATTTCTAACCCTTTACTTAATGTCTCTGTGTACAATTAATCCGGTTTTATAATTAATAAATAAATATTTTCCCAGTATCGTCGGCACATGGACTCTGTGTACGACTTTATAGTGGTGGGCGGAGGGTCATCAGGTTCAGTGGTAGCAGCCAGATTGTCTGAGGTACCGCACTGGAGGGTACTGCTGTTGGAAGCCGGTAAGTACCACGGCTGTTGCGAAATAAGACAAGTTATTGGTTTTACAGCTGTGAGTTATCAGTGTCATAATTTTTGTAAATAATTTGTCATAATAGAATAGATGTCATACTGGAATATAGAGATGTGAAAGAAATACTAGTTTTGAAATCTTCGTAGATCTGAGTTTGTTATATTTGTTAAGGTTTCGACGAGCCAACTGGCAGTCAAGTACCGTCTATGTTCTTGAACTTCATTGGATCCAGCATCGACTGGGGCTACCGCACGGAGCCCGAGCCCGCCGCCTGTCTCGGTGAGGACGAGCGACGATGCTACTGGCCTAGAGGAAAGGTATGTAGTTAAAGAATTTAATTCGCTACCCACTTGTAAACTGTCAACATGTTTTCTACTAATTTCATCGTGAGTAAGCGAAATGATAAATCGTTTAAAGGTATCTAATATGCTACTCTATATTGTTCTTTCTCTAGTACGTCACTAATCTGGTAGATAGACAGTAGCGGTATTAGGTTAGGGCGAGGTGGGGCTACCGCTCAGGGCGCCGGGCATATGGGAACATCGCAGGCGCCGTCTATTATAAAGGGGCGCCTGTAGTGCCTCTTAAGATAACCTATGTTTGAGACAAAACAGGGCGCCGTTAAAATCTCAACTTGGGCGCCGAAAATACCGGCCCTGTAGTATACAAAATACATAATTTTCAGATGCTTTAATTAAGGTTATTTATCTATTCTATAATCATCTGTGCGCAGGTTCTTGGTGGTACATCAGCTATGAATGGCATGATGTACATTCGTGGTTCTCGCAAGGATTACGACGCGTGGGCTGCTGCCGGCATCGAGGGTTGGTCTTACGATGACGTATTACCATACTTCCTCAAGTCTGAGGATAACAAGCAAGCTGGTGAGATGGACGCCGGCTACCATGGTACGGGCGGACCGCTCACCGTGTCGCAATTCCCGTATCATCCGCCGCTGAGTTACAGTATAGTGAAGGCTGGTGAAGAATTAGGTAAAAAGAATACGTAACCTAACTTTAACTATAAAACAAAAGGTCGATAAATATTTATGTTCATCATTACGGTTTTCATTTGTTTCATTTTCCTTCTAAAACTCGAAATTTGAACATCCCTATTCCTTCTTCCAATTCTACCAATAATCACTGCCTTTTATACTAAATAATAACTATTCCAGGCTACAAATCCCGGGACTTGAACGGTGAACATCACACTGGATTCGCAATCGCTCAGACAACCAACAGGAACGGGTCCCGACTGAGTGTGGCCCGCGCCTTCCTCCGCCCGGCGCTCAAACGTCCCAACCTCCACGTCATGCTAAATGCAACTGTTACCAAAGTACTCATCAACCAGAAGACACGACAGGCGTATGCTGTTGAAGTTAGAAATAGTTACGGCTCCATGGAGACTATATTCGCTAACAATGAAATTATATTAAGGTAAGAATTCATTGATAACTTGTTCAAAACTTGATAAATAAACATGAAAGAGTACATACTGTATAAGGTAAATACCTACAGTAGATACAGTATGTATCTATTTGCACAGAAAGATCCAGTTGTATTCCCTAGTCTTAAAAATATCAACTGAGAACCTCCTTTTGAAGTAGGTTAAAAACTTATATTCATAATTAAGTCACACTTTATCTATGTACATCATGAATTCATCACCAGTGCGGGAGCTGTAGCATCACCACAATTGCTACAACAGAGCGGTGTTGGAGAACAGCGCATGTTGGCGCGAGCTGGCGTACCCGTGGTGCATCCACTACCAGCCGTCGGTCGCAATCTGCAAAACCACGTCACGCATTTCCTCAGCTTCAGTCTTAAAGATAATAACACAGCGCCATTAAACTGGGCCACTGCTATGGAATATCTGTT